GTTGGACCTTAACCTACTTCAACCAGTAATGGGTCCCCTATTATCCATAGATTGTCGATGGTAACATTGATTCCAGTAACTTCACTTAATTTTTTTAGTAATGCAACAACCTAAAAAAGATTTTCCATTAAAGAAATCCGATGATACAATTCCACAAAATATTCTGAAAAAACAGGATGAACAACAATAAGCAACTATAATTTTTGCAAAAACAATAAGATTGGTGAGAACACAGGCGTAGAAAATATAGCCACACTTAGCTACCAAGAAATTAGATTTTCTACCGGTTTGGGATTGTAAAGCTATCAGGTTGGTGAATTTGACTGAAATTCGATTATTAGACCTCAGATTTGAAATCTATGATCCCGACGATGACATGGAGAGGGGGGCCACAGTAAGTTTTCATAGAGTCCTTATAAAACTCTCAATAGAGCTTATGGAATGTTCAGAGAGGTCGCTTATGTCAAGGATCTTCCGAACGTTCTAGTAATTGATGAATCCCAAAGAGAGGACAGAATAAAGTACTTGAGATTGATCAATCCTCTTGCCAGAATAGGTCCATGCATTTGGCATCCATCCAGACAGAATGGAATTACACTGAAGCCTGAATGTCTACTTGGCCCATATACACTTGCAAAACCAGTCAATGGTTTGATTCAACCTCTCGAATCCACTTTTCGCTAACCACACTGACGTCAGGGAAGATTCTTTTCTCTAGAGGACAACCGAGTCAGGATCTCCTTCGTCGTAACGCAGCACCCGGTGCTATCCCATGTGGAAGAGGTAACGGAGATGGAGCTCATGTGAATCATCGCCGCTCTGCCCCTACCTTACAAAACCTTCACTATTTTATTTTCAAATTATTCAATATCATGTAACAGTTAATTAAAAATGAACTATATTCACTATGCCAGTTCAAAATTATCGTGTCAGTAGTTTAAAATTATGGACATGACAAAGAAAAGTTATAAGTGCTATAAGCTATAAGGTGAGAGGAATTGAAATCAATTGGGAGGGAAAAGGGGGATATATCTCAAAAGTTAATTAATTATCTAGCAAATAATTGACCCAATACCTTAATGTAAATTGTAAATAAACAGTCAATAAAGTCTAGATTATCGAAAACTGGTGCCATTTTTACAACCTGTACCCGTTTTCAAACTCAACTCACATCAGGTCGATTCATGAACGCGTTCACTTCCGGAGAAGTCTTTGCCATTTCCCATAGTTGGCCTTGGCGTTCACAGTCAGCACCAGGATTCAAAACCTTTGAGAAGAAATTTTAAATTGATGGAATAGTTTGTGAATACGGCAATCATGAAGCTTACATAGTCAATGTGATTTTCAACGGTGTGAATAGGCACTGGAACAAATCCGACAGGCCATCCTTCTTCGGACGGATAGTCGTGATCAGGGACGGCATTTCCATCATTCTGACCATACATACCAAGAAGGTTTGACATAGCTGA